AAACTTCAATATAATGTCCGAACTATTTTGTATTAGGGCTCGTAGAACGAAGTGTTAATAATGTTTTTGTTCCATTCATCTGGAAGATAAATGACAAATAACTGCTGTATTAATTATGGTGATCTTCCATAGACCACCCAACTTACATCTTGTCTGTCATACAGAACGCTTATTATCAAACAGAGGGAAGCCATTCTAAGTCGAAATGTTGTTCACAATCCTGCAAATTGAATGGTATCCAGTTTTGACCACATATCGCCGTCGTCGAAGTGCATGATTCTAACAAGACGGTAAATAACAGACAGAAATTCACAAATAAAATAGTGGAACGCTTTATTCGAATCTTTTCTCGTCCATAACTTTTTTTCCTCAAAAATATCTTGCTGTAATAGCTTTACTGTATATGATAGGAATAAGCACGCAGTGTAATTTTTCGGGTGTAGTAGAAGTCCCGATTTCACTACTTACTGGCGGGAATCAAAATTTGCACCCTTGGCATAAATTGGACCAATTAGAAGGCGTTCTTGAAGTGATGGATCTCACTGAACTTGAACTAGAGAAAAATAATATGATATGGTCTTCTAATTCTAATAATAAATCAAGAAATACTCCATATATCACATAATTCCCGAGACGCAAATTCCGTCAATCAAAAACAAGGGCTTGTGGTCTACTCGAAACATGGATCAAATCTGATGTAATAGATTGACATGAGGTCATTACTAAGCAATTTATTAAAAAAATTCAATGTCTCACTGTTGCTGTACAAAATTTTGCATGACTATTTTTTGAAGAAATAAATAAAATTACGGAATGCTTATTCTTTAGCAAACATCGAGCAAATAATCAATTTACTTGTCTACCATAGGAAATCCCTGTTCCTCAAGCCAGCCTTGTTAGCGTTAAGAGAGCGATGTGGCGTGCTCTTCTGGAAGGTAGGACAGGTACGCGACCACGCCACGCCTCAGTGACGGTAACAAGGCTAGAAGTCACCCTGCAACCCAATAAAGGGCGCGAGAGCTCCCTGTTAACAGTGCTGGAACATGAATTTTTCGCACGGTAGTCAAGTAAGTTGGATTCTTACTTGATGTTTGTGAGAGAATAAGCATTCTGTAATGTTAGTTATGTCCTCAAAGGATTTATCAAGCAGAACTGCAACAGTGAGAATCGGTCGTTTGGAAATAAAATGCACATTTAAATGCTTGTGACATCAATCTAGAGATTGCTTCTTTTTCATTGGTGCATTTTATGATCATGGCACATGAAAAAATAGGCTTTTCTAGCGAAACCAAGTGATTTATGCCGTATCTCTTCATTTAATATGGAAATTACTCAAACATAGGTATTCCCTAGCTTGAGGAACATTATACAAGAAATCGATCACTGTTCAATAGATCCGTTACCTCAAATACGTCTTCTCATTGGTTGGATTAATGAGCTACTCGCTAATTGCTTAATAGAATCGGGCCTAAAAACAACATATTTGTCAATACTCACAGAAATGAAATTGGTTCTTTCAAAATATGAGTTTCTTACAGTCCAGCGGACAGCAGACCAGATAAGTTCATTGCACATCTAGGCAACATCACATCATTGATAATTTGTTTGGACGACAGTTTTTGATAATCAGAACATTCTGGTTGGCACGGACTGGATAGCCTAAGATCTGAATCGCACGAGGTTTGGATGCAAATGGGAAACTCATTGTTTTAAATTCAGTTTTTATTTTTTCATCAAAAGGAATCTACTTGAAGTCACAGCTGTGTGAGGAATTTACTTGTTCACAGATATACTGTAAGCAAAATTTCGATAATGAAATTTGGTTTTTGTGTTCCGGTTTCACCATACCTTTTAATTTTCTTATAATTTTCGTTCCGAAAAGAAATTCATGGCCAACTAAAGATATACATCACTGAACTTAGGACTGAAATCTTTATATAAATTAGAAAATTCCATATGTAAAAACAACGTTGGTGCTGGAAATCGAAGGAAGAAACCTCAAATTGAAAATTTGACTATGAAATCTTGTAGAAGAGAAAAAGTGCCAATGACAAAGTTTATTTTGAAATCCCATCTCAAATAAAGTCTCGAACAATAAAAATGATTTTGCAATAAATCTAGTATACGACAAAAAGGACTGTCTTATAATTTCAAAGCCTATCTAGGAAATTCTGATTATTTTTAAATAACTAAGGCTTTGGCAATGTCCATGTATGACATATTATACAGTTTTGGAATCAGGAATAAAAACTCATCTGAGCAAAAATCCAATATGATGCACATCAGAAAAAAATAAGTTGATGCTACAGAAACGTCATTTTGAAATTCTTATTATGCGATCTTGTAGAGTAGAAAAAGTAGCATTGTTAGTGTGCAATTTATTTTGGAATCTCACTACAAATAAAGTCGGAAAAAAGTCTAATTTTGGCAAATTCGGCTTTTTTTGTCGCTCTCCGGAGGAATTTGAATTCCAAAACTTTCTAAGCGGCATTTTTTAGTCACCTAAATTCGCAACTTTGTCCCCGTTACGATGTGTAATTGACAGTTCCCAAATTTCAAATCGAATATGCATAAAATGCCATACCATTCAATTTAAGCGAGTGCGCACTATACAGGAAGATTCAAAAGTCAATGGCAATGCTTTTCAGACAGAGAGTATGCCCATAATTCCACAAAGGGTTCATATAAATATAGGCTCTAAAATGCCTCTGTCGCGCTATCGAAATGGCTTCAAGTACAATGATCAAGCAATGCAATTTTATCTAAACATACTGGCATCAAGTCACCTAGTACATTAATGGTCTATTTGGCAGATTGTAGCAATGAGCTTGAATGTACATAGTAGCCTTATTTCTTTGGAAATGGCATGTAAAACTGTTTGTCATCAATGTTTGATAACTGATTATAAAAGATATTGGTATGTACTTTGAACTCGGATAGGACCATTAATACACTAGTCGAACTATTAAATTTATAGAAAAAGCTTCCCCAGACTACAGCGATGGCTATTTCACGGTTTTTATTTTTGACTGTTAGTATTATATTGCCCCAGAAATTGAGTATGTAACTTCATTAAATTTACCTCCAGGCATAACTCTCGTGATACATATACTATATAGCATAAAAAACTTAATATCTTAGTTTCGATTTTTTTTTAAATTACAGGATCTCCTCGAATATGGCGTAAGAAGTTGAAGTTATATATTTGGAGTGTTGATTTGAAAACTTCTTACCAAGGATTTATCGAAAACCACTGATTAAAAGCAAAAACGCCGAGACACGTCAAGATTTGTCAGGGGGTCAACTTTTTAACCAAAAACTACTTCACTCTCGCCCTCCCCAGGGTCATTCCCTTGAATATTTTAAATGACAAGAGGTATCAAGTAATAGCTTGTTTGTGTCATACATTCACATTGCCAAACCTTAGTTATTCTAGAAAAACCGAAGTTCCTAGGTAGGCATTGAAATGATCAGATATCATTTGCTTATCTCTGCTTATTGATGATTATTATTGATATTACCATCAATAACATTTTCATTTTGTGTTCAGGTTTTACCATACCACTTATTTCCTTACAATTTTCATCAAACAATGAGTTAATAGCCAACTAAGTAGATACATCACTGAAAAGTCCATTTAAATTTACCTAATTTCAATATAGCGTCCATATGAAAAAACAAAGTTGGTGATGGAAGTCGAACGAAGAAATGTCGAATTGAAAATTTGACTACGCCATCTTGTAGAGGAGAATAAGTAACAATGACCACATGCAATTTATTTTAAAATCCCATTTCGAATGAAGTCAGAAAAATACAAAAGTTGTTTTGGGATAAATCTGGTATGCGAAACAAAAGACTATCTGATAATTTCAGGACATAACTGGGAAATTCTACTTTTTTTTAAATAACTGAGGTTTTCCATTGTCAATGTATGACGTATTATACGTTTTTAAAATCAGAATTAAGAACTCTATTCGTCTGTGCAAATATCCAATATGGCATCCACAACAAAAAATAAATTTAATGCTTGATAGCAAGAGATGAGACGATATTGAAGTTCTAATTATGCCATCTTGTAGAGGAGAAAAAGTAGCAATGTTAGTGTGCAATTCATTTTAAAATCCCACTTCTAAGCGGCATTTTATAATTTACCTAAAAACGCACCTTTGCTCCTATTTAAGCGACTTCGTGTCTTTTGCAGTTTCCGAGATCCCAGTGCTGAGGGTCAAACTTAAGGCTCCATGTATATGTACATACATTTTTACGGCTTTCGCTAATATTACATTTTACATAAAGTGTCTCTCGCCAGAAATGTTTGGCACCATTAATTTCAAATAAACGTTATTTGAATACTTGAGGTTCAATACGTATAAAAACCTTAAATTCATTCTATTTTGAAACAAAGATTAGTAAGGATTGGCATTAAAAATTCTATGCAGCATGATATATTCCATGATCCCCCCTTTCCCGCAATGTTATTTGAAGAATGGGTGATGATTGGCAAGAGATGACTTTTTGTGAAAGTCATCTCAAGTGTACCTGCCTCCAAAACTTTTTGAAAAGCGTTGGGCAGGAAAATTTCACAAAAATCATGCTAAGTATATAAATTTCAAGGTCCAATCGGACTCCCAGTAACTTTCTATGCTATTTCTGGACAAACTTTCTGCTGTAGGAGAATAGCCATTATTTTTGAATAGCGCTCAATAATTCAAATTTAAGTGAACTAATAATATACACATTTTATTCATATCACGCTAGACCCATGTTTCATCCCATCCATAGCAATAACCACCTCTGACCCCTTATTGACGGCGAAGGTCTCAACCATACTCCTAGATGTCCTGAGCACCCTCACCGAGTCCGATGACACAAGTCTAGCACAATCTGAAACCACACCGGAGCTCTCTGGCCTGGCAATAGGAACCAGTAAGAATTCCCCTGGGGTCTTCCAGTCCCCTAAGCTTCTGATCAATGAGCCGCCTCCGTGTTGCACGTGATCGATGAATGAGCCAGCGTCTCCAACTGTGGCTGCAGCGCTTGGTGCTACTGCAGGGGATGAATTCGCTTGGCTGCGGTATGTGAAGCCCAAGGCTGTCAGAAGGTCATCGACAACCTGTAACAAACGTACCTGTTGATTGTAGATGCTCCGAGTTTGTTCGATCATACAATTGATGTGACATTTGTAGCACACCTTAGATAACAATCAGCAATTAAACTCTCCTGACAGTACCAAAGACCGTCGTCATTTCAGCGGAGAAAGTGGCATGTAAATTCTCAGTAGAAGGATAAAATAGATTTTAGTCTTCCGCGTTCAGCAGTCCTAGTTGGTGTTAGCGCTCACTATGTCCACGGCCACAGATATTCTTTGCTACCAAAATAATATTAAGTTATTATCTAGTGTAGTTTGTGTCAACAAATAAAGGGGAGTCTGTATTTCTTATATAGATATTTAAAATATCGGAACTATCGTCCAGTTACACATTAAAAACTCGCCCAGTATGTAGAAACATCCTAGTTCAAAAGTCGTTGTCAGAAGTGTCAGGTTTTTTTGGCAGGGGAAAGCCACTCTCAGGAAGAAAAGCTCGACATAATTGATCTGCCGGCTCTTCCTGACCGAAGTGGCATACTCACTAAAGCCTCTCAGTCGTTCGCCACACATCACAACACTGTAATGCTTGCAGCATTTCTTCATAGTGGGTAGCGTTGCGCTAGGTTTTCATACCGAAGGTATTAGTCATCTATTCTCTATCTTACACATACTATGTACATATACAACCGAGCGAAATAGAAACTTACTATTGGTTTCTTGATCTACTTTTGTTCACCCGTACCTTACTCAACATCATTTGCCTCATTGCTGCTTGAATATCCACCCATTTTACCTCGCGTATATGCGTGACAAAATTGTCAGCAGTGAGCCACTCGCCGAGAATCGGTTCCATCTGATTTTGCTAGTCAACCCACCAACCACATTGGAGCAGGTGATTAGCAGTATACCTCTCTTCATTGCATTATACACAATTTGCGAACTCTGTCTTTCCTACCCGCATCAAGCAGCTGTCAAAGCAACCATGTCCTGTCCAGTATAGCAATCTATCCGCACCACTCCCTTGTCAATCCAAGTTTTAGTATCTGGTCCATGCACTATGGCCAGTTGGATCCCATCTCTCCTACCAACTGACAAAAAGCGCGTCTCTTTTGTCGCTTGTAAATCAATCAAAGCAATTGGTGGCATACCAGTTACCACCAGCAGTGCATCGATCGACACGGTTCTGCAAGCACATACCGCGCACAGCACTGCATGTCGCTGGCTTCTTGATATTAGATGTCTATATTTGTTTTTCCTCAAGGCCTTGTTATACTAATATATAGGAGCTCCGTACAGCATAATCGAGTTTACCACCCCTGATAAAATGTTGCGCCTCTCACTACTGGGTCAGATGGCATTAGCCGTATAAGAGATGCAACGACCTTATTTACCTTGTCAATGGTAAGCCCCATATGTTCAATCAATGTCAGATCTTTGTCAAACCACACACCCAGATTAAGATTAATATTAATTGCATGCAGAAAGTATAACAACTTCCGTCTTCTGATGAGCTAATTTCTAGCCATTTTCTTCCATCCGTATGGCAATTCTCGTGATTCTGTACGCCAAGAGTCCTTCAAATCTTTCTATCTCCTTGATAGTCACTTTATCACAATGTCATCAGGATACCTCAGCAAGCGAATTCCCGGCAGCATCTGTAACCGATGAACCCCATCGTAGGCACGTTCCAAGGCAACGGCCCTAGGACGGCCCCTTGCGACATTCCCATGGTTACTCTCGTCTTTTACCCTACCATATGTGGCCTCTCGTCAAAATAGCTCTTTATCATGTTCATTGGATAGCTAGTAACATCTAGCTTCTCGAGAGATTCGACAATTTTCTGCCATCGTGCTGAATTAAAGGCATTTTCAACGTCAAAAGCAACCATAACGCAAAACCTCTTACTATTGTAGTTGCCATTATCCGCTGCTTTCACAAGCTGGTGCCACTGCACTAACTGCATCCCTGGTAGATTTTCCCTTTCTAAAACCATATTGGGAGGAAGACAACCCGTTTTTTCCTATGAGTATTTTCTTAAACTACCTTCTATCAGTACTTCTAGTAGCTTGCCAAGTGAACTCAGCATATACAGAGGTCTTTTTGACTTCCCTACCGGTGGGTTTCGGAGGCTTAGGGATGAGTACCAAACCAGCCTCTTTCCACCGTTTCGAAAAGACTCCCGTTCCCAAGCATTCATTCATCACAGACATCACGATCTCAGGTATCTGTTTAAACGTCGCTTTCACGATCTCGTTTGGTATTTTATCTAGTCCTGGTGCCTTACTTGTTTTCAAGTATGTTGCAGCTTCTTCTAGCTCACTCATGGTGAACACTGGTACGTCCAGCGATTCCTCAAAATTCCATTCGGTGCGTAAGTACTTCGGAAACAATCCCTCCCAGTTCCTATTTGCTGCTCAGTATCTAGGTACTGTGACTTTTAGCTTTTTCATAGCTATATTGTATGCTTGAGCTAAACATCGTTTTCTGAGTCGTTTAGTAGTTCTTTCCACAACCCCTGGTTAGAGTTCGTTATCAGATTTTCTAGTTTTTTTGGCATATTGATGCTGCTTTTTATACTCAAGCATGACAACGGTACTTTCTATTTTCTTTTGTTATTCTACGTTTGATAGTTAGGCATTCTGATCGTTTTTGAGCTGTTTCGTCCAGCTTTGTGTTCCATAGGGCTAACTGCAGATTCCCGGGCAAAGCTTTGAATTTGCCTTCCACCTGCGGATCATATGTTTCTCTGCTCTTTCATGTTTGATAGATGTTATTGCAAACATAATATATTTATGGTCGCTGACATTTTCATCAACGAGTACTTTCCAGTTTTTGATTTTACCAATCCGGTTCTCACTATAGAAAGTAATGTCTATATAGGATGTTTGGCTTCCTCTGACAAAGGTTGGCTCGCCACTATTGTTTGCTATGATGCTTACTGCGAGAATGTCTTCAAGGGGCTCTCTTCCTTTGTCAGTTATCCGAGATCCCAAAGTTGTCGACTTCAAATTGAAATCTTCCCCATCAAGTATTCCTTATACCCTGGTCCATAAGAGTTTCTAATTAATTTAGTTTTTCTGAGTGAGCTTCAATTTTTATTTATAAGAATTATATACATACAGAGCACAGCTCTGTTTTTTCGATGTCTATCTAAATCATCCCTTTTGCATGCGTGCATAGATGTTTCAGCTGTTTGGCAGATTTTCATGAACCTCCTTCTATTATTTTTTTATTCGGCTCCGACACCAGACCAACGTCAATTGAATTTTCTTTTGCGACCTGATCCAACAAATCGTACGCCGCTTTGTACCTTTTTAAGTTTGCTTTTATTACCTTTATTGTGGTGTTGTGGGAGTTGCTTCTATCGGTTCGCCTGTTTTTTCTGTTTCTGACAACCTGAAATCCCTCATACTCAGTGTTATCAACTTGAGGTGGATATAAAGCAGGCTCATCAGTTTTATTTCTAATTGTTACAGGTGTAGCCTGCTTTGTCACAGCTGTGTTAGCTACTTGTTTTTTAGTAGTGAAACAAAGCTATTTCACTACATCACTGTATGTCGAGCAGGCCACACTGTTAACGCGATGTCCCTTCTCGCCGCATAAGTAGCATTTCACTTCATTGGTGCAGACTTTTGCAACGTGCTTGTCGTCTAAACATTTGCGGCACTTCGGTTCTACTTTACCTTACACTGATATGCAGCGTGGCTGAAGAGTCACTTGTAGCATCTCGCTGGAGAGACTTTTTTAGTTATTCTACACCTGCTCCATCCAATTTTAATCCACCGCAGGATACGTCCAAGCCCTTCCTGGAGTACCATCAGGGCAGTGGAAGCCCCCCCCCCACTTTTAGGTGCTCTTGGCACAAGTAGCAGACCTGCAACATTTTACTGCTGCAGAACCTCTTCGACAGCTGGACGGACCTTCCTTATCTATGACTATTTCAGGGCCACGTACTATTATTGCAACAGTCCCTTCTTGTGCCTTGGCCATATTTCCGGCGACCAAAATACCCTCAACTTGCGTCAAAAGATTTTTTTAGGAGCACCTTTTTTTTTCTACCACCTTCAACTTAATTTCGCCTTTTTTTAGCTGTCTCACATTAAACACCGATGCACCTATTTCTTGTAAATTTATTTTTTGCCTCAGTCTCCTAAGCGTATTAGCGTAGTAGTTTTCAAGTGTCTGGTTGGATCGCGTTGGTTGTCATTTTGCTGGTGGTTTGCTTTCGTTTTTTTCCGTGACAGAGACACGGAAATTTTGTGTATCAGGAAATATTGCGGAGAACACAGCAAAAGTAAATATTTTTCGTTTATTGTACATACTGATAGCCTTCCACCATTATAAATTCATGTTGAAGCTTTTTTATAAATAAATACCCCGCCGCTTCTTTTTGGACACACATTCTCCTTTTCTAATGAAAATGTGATCATAAGCTACATTATATCATACCGAAATATTCTGATTTTTAAAAAAATATCTGCAGCCGCTGGCATGGTTTGCTGATCACGGAACGCTAAATTTGGGCGACAGTTATTTTTTTTTTGATGGTATCGTTAGGTTATTGCTTCTTAATGATAAGTTCAAATTGGCATCATGATAGGGCTCGAGAATCTGCTGCGATTTTGATAAACACGTTAATTCTTCATCATTTTGCGTTCATAAAAGTTTGTGGTATGGACAGCAGATTACCAGAAAGGTAAATGGTGATCTATTTGTTGGTTAATTTTTAAATCGATGGTTAAAATGAACACCCAGATTTCTTTTCCCGAACTGGTTTTTCCATTTGAGAGTAATATCCTTCCGGTTTAAATATAATCTCATTCATATGCGCGCTATGGCTGAGCTTGGCGTAGCCGTTTCTGTTGACTTTATTTTTCAGTACATTTTCCAAAGTCTGCGGCATTATCTCAACAATGGCTGCATGAATGTTGGTCTTTAAGTGCTCAATCATCGCTGGGGCATCTTCATAGTATTCAACTTTTACGCTTCCCCACAAAAAATATTCAACGGAGTTAAATCGCTGCTTCGCGGTGGCCAAGTCACATCACCAAAACGCAATCTTCGAACTGTTCTTGAAGAAGAGCGATTGTTTCACGGCTTGTGTGACATCCAAGTCTTTTTATCGGTTTCCGGAAAGAAATAGTCAGTCAGCATGCTCCGATAGCGCACACCAATCACTGTGCTTTGTCATTTTCGAAAAAAGGGCCAATAATGCCGCCAAACCACAAACCATACCAGTCACGCCTAGCGGATGCATTGACTAGTCTGAGCACCAAGTATGGTTAATTTTGCTTATTGACTTAGCTATCAAGATGAAAATGGGCCTCATCCGAAATTATAATATTTCGGTAAAAATGGGTTCCTCATCCAAGCGTCCAATTTTGAGCGCTTCCCAACGTTATTCAAGCGTATATCGATCCATATTCGTTTACCGCAGACACTTTATTGAATTCCTGTCAAAACAGAACTTGTGTAAGTGGTGCCAACCGCGAGATAAGCCCTACTTCAAAAATTAACCAACAGATGGATCACCATTTACATGCTAAAATATTTTTGATGATAAGGGCGAAACTATAAATCAAAGAGCATAAAACAGAACTGCTTTTTGTACAGAATAAAATTTGACACAAAAAAGCCATTTACATTTTTTCGACGTTAATAGTTCTTGAAGTATAAGGAGAGAAAGCTGAAAATTCGTATCAACATAGAAGCGCAAAATACTCCTACTATTTCATAATCATTAACTATAATCGGGAACACATTTTTTCACTAACACGTGCAGGTATGGAAAATGTAATATTTTTTGATAATGTGTGATATTTTTATTATAAAGATCAAATCACGCACTCCCATCAATATGCCCATTGGCGATTTTGTCACTAAGTGATTTCAGTAATCGCTGTGCGCAGTAACAAAATGGCCAATTAACAGACTGATGGATGTGAGTGACTTACATTTTCATGATGAAGACATCATAAAATATCCGAAAAAAATATATTAATTTTCCATACGCGTGGTAGTAAAATTGTATTCTTGATCGTTGATAATGAGTTATCCCCTCGTGAAATGATGTTGTATGGTGCAACGTACGTAGAGTGCCCAATGTTTTGATGATACGAATTTCTGACTTTCGCTCCTTAGAAACTTGAACAACCATCAGTGTAGAAAAATGTGACATACCTTTTTGGTAGAAAATTTTAGTCTCTACAAAAAGTGATAGAAGTCTTTATAATACTTAGGATGTTGGTTCAGCTATTATAAGCAAAAATATCATTACATGTACCTTTATCCTTAAATCTCTTGTAACCGGTTGAAGAATTCAATTCGCTATATAATTAATTCAACTACTTTTTTGCATTTTTTTTCGAAAATTCTGTTCATTACGCCAATTGGAACTTACCATTTGGAAGCAACGGTCTAACCAAAAAAAAATACTGTCGCCAAAGTTGTAGGAGAAAATTATCTATTTCCTGGCCTATATGAATGACGAATACATGGAATCAAGCGGATCAAAGTAAATTTTGAAAAATCTACACGGAGTCTGAGGACGGTTATTCATGTTCCATTTATGATCATATCACCAGGTCATTATAGAAATATATCATCTCTGACGCGTTATCGACGTTAAAATTTTAGTCCAGGCAGTACTTTCCTGGTTATAAAGGATTCTGAGATCTGCTGGGTAAGCGAGGCAGATAAGCAAATCAACGAAATCATACGAAACATGGTTTTTCGTGATGCATACTTGAAGGGTGGCACTTAAACTACCAGCATTATTATTACACATTCATGTCTAATCTATTTCTTGAATCTCAATAACGAACAGATGATTTTTTTGATACGCCTGAAAACTAACATCCAAGTAGTCATTTCTCACGGAAATCGATTACGATTATTATCCTTCTGAAACATACATCTAGCCCTGGTTCTCGTTTTTCCAGTACTGTTGTTACAGATACTGCGCAAAATAGCAACATATATTAAGTGATATATAAATCCGAACACCCAGTTTAAATGGTTTTATTTTAATAAAATTTTGTATAAGTACTTAATGAAGCGTAATAAGTAAATGATAAAAATTTCAAAATGATTGCACTGCTTTAAAGCCCTTTGACCTTTAATAATGTGTGGATGCACCCTGATGTGCTACGCATTCTCCAACGCGCCTAGGCATGCTTCTGATCAGGTGGTCAATGTCCTCCTGTGGTATCTCATTCCAGGCAACCACCAACTCCTCTCGAAGTGCTTCTAGAGTCTGAGGAGGACGTTGCAAATTGAGCAATCTCCTACCCATCATATCCCACACGTGCTCAATTGGGGATACGTCGGGAGATCTTGGTGGCCATGGTAACAATGTGACATCATTATGTTGAAAGAAGTCTATTGTGACTCTTGCAACATGTGGCCGGGCATTATCTTGTTGGAAAGTTGGATCTGCCAGGGTGTCAAGATAGGGTAAAACATGGGGTTCTAGAACTTCGTGGATATAACGCTGCGCGTTCATGTTACCTCTGATGAAGATTAAAGGTGACCTGAAACCATAAGCTATAACACCCCAAACCATAACTCCAACAGTGTGATGAACATGTCTTTCAACAAAAAACTGTGGATTCCTCCTTTCACCACGTCGCCTTCTAACCCTGGCACGACCATCGTGCATGCCTAAACAAAAAGACAATACTGTTCTATTCCTGATCCCAGAGTGACCGTTGTCTGCACCACTCAAGGCGATTACGTCGGTGTTCTCGAGTTAAAGGGAGGACCCAGTGTGGCCGGTATGAAAACAAGCCAAAACTTCTCATTCGTCGGTAAACACTTCGCATGCCAATAGGTCTTCCGTGTTCTGCAAACCATTCATTTGCAATGGACCTGGTAGTGGAGAAACGGTCCCTTAAGGCCAATAATCTTAGGCGGCGATCTTCACGGTCTGTTGTTCTACGGCGGCATCCAGTGCCCCTTGCTCTTTGCGTACGGCCTTCTCGAAGCCATGCCTGACAACACCTAACCACAGTGTCTGCACTCTAACTGCAATTGCCCGAAAAGAAAGTCCAGCTTCCCGAAGTCCCACTATACGGCCCCTATCAAGTTGACTGAATCGTACAGGTCTCCGTACTCTAGGCATCGTAACCGATCGTAAAGGATGTCAAGAACCAAAATCCGCTAACGTTGATTCTTTACTGCGGCTGAAATATTCATTTTTAGAGCGTCAGTGAATTAAAAAAAAGCAGTATAAAAACCGGAATGTCCAACTGATAAGGCTGAACATTTTTTCACTTGTTATTTACAGTAAGATAAATACATTCACCAACTTTTATTAAAATAAAACCATTTAAACTGGGTGTTCGGATTTATATGTCACTTAGTATATTTATCTGCATTCATAATACCTACGATGTAGCTTAGGTTCAAACACCATTCCACGACATGGCTATTACGTAAAAAATTTTTAAAATGCGGACTAGGTAGCTTTTAGGGTGCAAAACAGTCATTCCACGTTTGCTCACTAGAATAGTACATCTATGGAGGAATAGGTCAACTACAAGCATTGTTGGTTGCATATGCCTTGTGAAGCCGAATAGTCTATAGACGGGTTATTTATATGTTCTCCTTTCTGAAGACGGGTTCTGTTCAAAAGTTATAAATTACGTTTTTTGTGTTTTCAAAGACTTTGAGGAGAATTTTGGGAAATCACCACCGCGCTCACGTTGTGTGTAATTACTGTTAGCATGTATATGTCTTGTAATTCGACAGGGTACACTGAATATAATTATTTCTTATCTCTCTCATTTTTGAAATAAAGCAAATTTGCAAATGCAATTTCCAGAATGGATAAGAAAAAGTGAATGCGCAACTAATTTCTAGCTTTGAATCTCAATTAAGTGTATTTGAGACAAGAACCCAATGGAATTTTTGAAATGCATAATCTGCTCCAAGCATAATGAGAAAATCAGAACTAAATTCGTAATAAACCACTCACCACTCTGCCAGTGATGTGAATTCATACTCCTTTCTTCAAAATCACATTAATACTCTTAAATCTAAGATCAACTACGATGCTAAATAAACTCCAACATAGCTTTAAATTAGCTCAATTAACCCTTAGATTGCAATTTTCTAGTGTCATTGACATTGTGCATCTTATCTACAAGCATGATCCTGACATCATTGGTATATCACATTGAAGAATTTGTAAATCAGAGGCAGTGGTAAAGTGTTCCAATCTTAAAAAATATTCATTCTCGATTGAACATTCCACAACAAGTCTCTCTTGTAACCGTTTTTTCCAGTGAAACTACAACAATTCAAGTATCAAGTATGCTTGGGAATCTAAAAACAGTCATATTTGGTCACCTTAACGTTCGTTCTATCCTGTCTAGTTTTTCTGATTTTGTGGATATATTAACTGAACAAGAGTACGACTTTTTCGCGGTGACCGAAACATGGCTGACTAGCAGTATACCTACTGGAGTTGTTAAAGTTCCAGAGTATAATTTTTATCGCTGTGATAGAGGACGAAGAGGTGGCATTGGCATTTATATTAAATCTATGTATCAGGTGAGACTTCTTGACTTTGGTATTGATACCAGCACAGTTATGGAAAGCATCTGACTAGAGGTTATTCTTCATAAAGAAAATTTTTGCATTAGTGTCATTTACAAACCTCCATTTAAGTCCTTTGGCGATTTTGCTAACTTATGGGGCTCCGTTCTGCCTTCTGTGCATCTGTCAGTATGATAACGTTTTAATATTAGGTGACATGAACTCAGATTTATCTAATGCCGACAATGATCTTAATAAATGGTTTTTGTGTTATCGTTTTTGCCAAATGGTTAAAGAACCCACTCGTATCACGGAAACTTCAGCCACTCTGATTGATGCAGTTTTTTCAAATACTAAAGAACTTTTTACGGGCACCATAGTTTTAGATGCTGAGGAAATTTCTGACCATCGACTTGTATGTTGCTCGCTGGAAACTGCTGTCAAAAAAACTAAGCAAACTTACATCACTTTCCGAGATTTTAAGAACTTTGATGAAAACGGATTTTGTGATGATTCAAGCTCGATTGTTTGACATGACCTGATATTATTAAATGACATCGATGACAAAGTTGATTTCCTTGCAAGGAACATTCTTAACGTTGTTGATATCCAAGCGCCGCTCAGGGTCAATACACGTCAGACTTCTTGGTTGACCTTTCCGTTAAAAGTTATTCTGAAAGAACGTGATGCTGCACTTAGAAAAGATAAATCCGATAAGACAGTATCGCACTGGTTAAGCTACAAAGAAAAACGTAATTCTGCTCTTGCGTCAATTAGGTGCGAAAAAGCGGGTTACCTTTCTTACAAGAGCATCATATGTCGAAAGAACTATAGCTTTTTATGATTTAGGTATCTCTCCCTATTATACTTGACCCATATTATCAATCTGTGTCTTGAGAAGGGCTACTTTCCTAAATCTTGGAGACGACCAGCAGTAAGGCCAATACCTAGGGTGAGAAAACCTGCCGATTTCTTGGATCTTAGGCCCATCAGTCTGTTGAGCGTTTTATTGCAGATCGTGGAGAAAATCGTTTATTTGCAAATATTAGATTTTTTGGATTCAAGTGAGATATTCCCAGTACATCAGTCTGGGTTTAAAAAATCATACAGTACTACAACTGCTCTTCTTGATTTAGTGGACAACATCATCAGGGCCCTTGATAAGAAAATGTGTGTCGTCTTAATATCACTGGATTTCTCCAAGGCCTTTGATAGAATTGATAACGCACTGATGTGTGTTAAGCTAAAATTTTATGGTTTTGATAAAATAGCACTGCAGTTTTTCAAATCATACCTAACCTGCCGTTCTCAGCGCGTCTCAGTTCCTGATGGTTTGACAAATGAGCACTTTATTACTTCTGGTGTGCCTCAAGGCTCAATTTTAGGGCGCTTGTTATTTTTAATTTATGTAGCCGATATTGTCAAGTCCATTTAAAATTCACAGCTACAGTCGCTTTACTTCTCTTATCCTGAGAACCTCCAAACTGCTACTATGGAAATTAACGAGGACATTGACTCTATTTGCACCTACTCAGCCAAAAACAATCTAACCAATTTTCTGTTGTGCTGTTTTCTCCAAATCACAGAAGAGCTGAAGTCAAAGCTTCTTTAAGTATATGTATTAATAATTAGGAGTTTCCTTTTCCTGAAAGTGTCAAGTTACTAAGCGTGTTAATTGATGAAAACGTGCGGCTTCTTGAACATTTAAATAACCTCTTACAAAGAACTTACATCCATCTGAGAACTCTGTATGCGAACAAATATTTGCTGAATTTTAAAGTGCAAAAAAAGTTGTGTGTTTCTTTTGTTATCAATTTTTAATCATTGCAATCGTCGTCGTCGACGTAACATAATATCTATTGTACAAAATAACTGCATACAATTTATATTTAGCTTAAGAAAATTTAACTATTTTTCGGATCGTTATCCTCTAATAGGTTGGTTAAAGATGAGATTCAGTGAAATATAATTACCTAACCTTTATACGTAAATTACTTGTCTCTGGAACTCCAATTTATTTACGTGAAAAACTAATTTTCCGATATTATGTTTATCAACGACCTATCCGTAACACATCCTCTTCAACAATGCCCTTTCATAGTTGTATAGTTTTAGAAAACATTTAACAGCTCTTCTGCTCAATGGTGCTTCTTAAAGGTGTTTTTCTCCAGCATTATATTTTTATGCTAACATTTGTTTATGTTGTGATTAGTTTCATGCTCATTTTCCTTCCTCCTTTTAATTTATTTACAGCTGTACTTTTCTACCAGCTATTATTTTTATGCAGTAAATGGTTAAGTGTAAGAATAGCTGTCATAGCTAAACTTCGCCATCAAGCTGCTCACTGATCTAATTATAGGTAATATGCATTATCTGCGATTTGTTTTTTTAATAAAAGACGGTTTATTATTATTATTGTTATTATTATTATTAGCACACAAATCCTCACTATGCACCTATGCATTGCCGTTATCTCCAGTAATGCCACCTCTGAAGCAGATTTGACATCACATCAGAGCCAAGCATTGATAACTGGAGCCTCATGATGTTTAGGCAACACTTACAACTACAAAATGGGTTCACAACGTGTCCATCAGCTAGTGCTAAGTTAGAAAAACCTACATAATGTCTTAAAAAATCAATACAATGAAAAAAAATAGAGATAATGTCACTTTTCAAGATACGTAGTACCCGTGCCAGCTACCATGATTCACTGTTGGGCTGACATGTCTCGTTTCAAGTGTTAGGCTTTCTCCACACGTATTCGCGAACATCACATCTGGAATCCTGAAGGCTGAAGGCAAGATTTCGGCTCTGATGGTGGCAAATATGTTTGGAGAAAGACCAAGACTTAATTTGAAATCGAGACATGTCAACCTAACAGTGCCGGGAACGTTTATGTCCAGGGCTGCATGGCGTGGAATGGTGTTAGAAATTCAAGCCTCATCGTTGACATTATGAATGCACACAGGTATGATGACATTTAACGCTATAGCTTGAACCGCAGTGCTGCGAAAATGGGAACCAGAGAAACGTTTATCTTTCAGCAGGATAATGATCCTTAGCACAGCGTCACTAAAATATGAAAATTGCCTGCTTTACAATATTCTTGCATAATCTGTTAAACCCGGGATGTCAATCTTAAGGCCCGAAAAAATAAAATTTCTGCGAAACGACAGTTGCAAGATGATCTTATGTAGAAATGAGACCAAGTTAGACCTGAAATAACTTGAAAATTTCATGGCACGATAGCTTCAGGCCATAATAAATTGATGTAAATATATAACAAAATCCTAGCCATAAATAAATTTTGCTGAAACTTATTTAGTTGTATGTTTGTTTTTTTTGTTAGTATGTCGATACTTTTTTGACGCTTGAATTTCATAATTCCTATTATTATTCTTATATTACTTTCAATTTGATCAATCTATTTCTATCAAAAATTACTATTTGGATTTCAGTTTTCAAATAAATATAGTAACAAAAAAATTATCTGATTGTTATTGAGATTCAAGAAAAAATGACACACTGTAATGTGTGAAAAACTAAGAATGCAAGGTACTGTATCTGGAAACCTATCCACCGTAGAGGCTTGCGACACAAAATGCTATTACTAAGTGAAAAACCTGGAAAATGATCCTATTTCTCGACATTCCGACAGACGTGGTCAGTTTTCTCAAAAAAATTAAACGCATTGGCATAATTTTTTTATGAAACAGTAGCTGAATAGGATGTCTCAATAAGCTCGCATCTCAATATCTTGTTCCTAACCTGAAATTTAGGCCAAAGAATATTTTATACGGAAGTCACTTAAATTTTGATTTTTTCCAAACTAATGTTTCTGGATATTCTTTTTATTATTAAGCTGTGGGCCTAAAAAGGACCGATTTAAAAAAGGAATGTTTCTAATGCCCCCATAACTGCTTGAAATGCTGACCATCAAGCTCTATTCATTCCTGAAGCCTCTCATGGGTAGACAAAACTGCAGCTTCAACTTCGGCTCTCGGTATGTTACTTATTGTATTACGAATACGGTTTTCCATATCTTCTCTGATTGTAGGTTGAGTCTGAAACGTCCTATAATCATCCCCACGAATAAAAATCAAGACAAGTTCAGTCTGGTGATCGGGAAGGCCCTGGAAACAGAGTTGCTCTTCCAATCCATCGCTGTTGAAATATTGCATTAATACCCTCTCGCGCAATAATAGCAAAATGTGCTGAACACCCATCCAACTGCAAAAACAAATTTTGCCCTGTTTCCAGTGGCACATATTCCAACGACAACGTTAATGGATTGTCCAAAAAGACTAGAAAGAGGATTGTTTGCAAAAAATATGGCCGAATAATTCTTCATTTAAGCACCAACGCCCTTGGTGCTGAACTTTCCGCAGCCAATGCGGATTTTTGCAGACCAATAATGCATATTGACTTCCGTCACTATTAAAGGTGGCTTCATCGGTCCAAAGAATTTGAAATAATAATTCTCTATTTTCGCGTATCGTGCCTAACGTACATTGGCAATAGTCCACCCTCCGATTAAAGTCTTCCTCTTTCAAGGTCTGTAACGTCAAAACGACATGATCTGGGTGCATTCTAGAAGTGATTAAAAATAGTTAAATCTAAATAGATATTTTGATGGTCATTAGAAATTATCTATGGTCCTTCAAAATATTCTGAACCGTTGTTCGTGATATGCTCATCTCAAGGGATAACGCCCTTGTGCTAACATGAGGATCTCCTTGAAAGTATTCCAGTACGCGATTAATATATTATTCTTGTGTTCTTCCAATTATTTGCCGTTGAAACATAGTCCGAAACCCACCATTAGCTCGTAAGATCGCCATTAATCATGGAAAAACTCTTCTATTCTAGTCGTCATTGTCGGTCAGAGCGGTCGGTGGGACCTTCGCTCTTTGTTAAAGTAGGTCTGTCAGTTTTGGTTGCCCAGATACTTGAAGAAGTCAGGGAGAAAGGAAGGAACAAGAAAGAAAGGAAGGAAGGGGAAAGAGCAAAGA